ATCCTTAGCCTCTGCTATATTGTATTGTTCAAAGAACTCACAAGGCCTATCAAGATACAAGATTAATATCTATTTCTTGATGGGAGAGTAACCAATTCTGACTTTAGAATATCATTTGGAGTAGGAGGTAATCATTATGGCCATGTTGGAAAATGCAGTCTAAGATACACATGTATTTAACCTATATTTGTTGTGTATGATTTAAAATTGCTATGTGTCTAAAATATAAAGTGTTCTCTCTAAATTTTTTACTGGTGATATTTTCATTGATTTGAATACCTAAAATACTTATATTAGGCATAGTAAACATGGAAATGTTTGCATTAATTGATTTTACATCTATTGTGTAGGGGCACATATAAATACTATCAAATATATTAAGAAAAGTTTAGAAGTCAAGCCATTATAATATCATGACATCTAGTAAGAATGTAAAGGCTCACAGTGTTGGGCTGGGCAGATAGTTCCCTTGGTAAAGTCTTTACCTTGCAAACAAGTTTCATCTTCCGAACCTATGCAAAAACAAGGCAGGCTTGGTGGCTTTTTCCTGTTAGCCAATCCCTATAGAGCAGGAGTTCTCAATCTGTGACCCACTAGAGGGTGAAATGACTTATTGCACAGCGGTCACCTAAGACCTTCTAAAAACACAGATATTTGTATTATGATTGATAACAGTAGAAAAATTATAGTTATGAAGTAGGCACAAAAAATAATTTTATGGTTGGGGGGTCACTACAACACAGGAACTGAGTTAAAGGTTCGCAGCCTTAGGAAAGCTGAGAATCACTGCTATAGAGGCAGAGCCAAGGTGATGCCAACCAGTAGAGTCTTTTTTGAAAAACTTCAGACCAGTGAAAGACTAAAAAACTGAAGTGGAAGAAGCCTCAGGAACAATACCCAAGACTGTCATCTGGCCATCATACATGCACACACACACACACACACACACACACACACACACACACACACACGACTTGAATTATAAATATTGCAATTTCTCCAATGGATTCCCAAGATATTTCATTTATATCTAAAACTCAGTAAAGTAGATGATTAATATAGAAAAAAAAATTCTGTTTTTTTAGCCAGTTACAGTAAAACCAACATGTTTTATTTGCTCACATCTGTTGTTTCTAAAGGGAGCAGGGCATATTGCCTTGCTAGAGTTAATATTTAGCTAAAATGTACAAATGGTGAAAATAACATTCACATATGGGCTAGGAAATTTACTTGTATTTTTAGTATAAACATGTTGAATTTGATATTATTGGGAGGAAAAGAAATTCAAATGACAAAGCAAAACTAAATGTCCATTTTACAAATAATCAGGAGGAGACAGTTAATTGTACAGCACATTTAAGCTATGCTAACTTTTGAAAAAAATTCTCAAAGGTGTTCCCTTTTGTGACTTGGTGGGTAAGTGCCGTATGGTGAATGGTGGATACGTTGCTTTCATAAATTAATGGAATAGCTCCTCTTCCTCTTGAACAGATTGATGGAGGTATCTTTTCCGCCGCAGCCTAGAGTGCTGTGAGTTGAACACATATACTTTTATATTATTTCACGAGACACTGAAGCCCCTGAAGGGGAGAATCTAGAGAGTTGAGCTTCGTTTGCAACAAGCCCCAGTTGAATACACATCCTGAAATAGCTTTCTGTTTTCCAGTAGAATATATTACATATTTCAAACTGTACATGTTTATCACACATTCCCTGGGATGGCCTTATTTACAGATGGTTTGAATAAATTTTTCTGCCTTTTTCTCAGAATTTGCATGGTGTGGTAGTTAAAAACCAGCTCCCGTTTCACATGAAGGTATTTTTGCTTTCCAGAATGTGAATTCTCTAAGCACAACAATATTGGAATTCTTTCATACTGGAGTTAGCTGTTCCACAGCTAGTCCACAAAATAGTCTCCTTTGTGCTAAAAAACAGAACATGTCTTTAAAAAGAAACAAAAATTGCTTGTTCTTGTGGCAATGCATGCTGACAAAGGCTGTAAATTAGCGTTTAAGTACACTATTTTATTATACTCCAAATTAAACAATGATTTTTCTCCTATGTGTATAACACATTCCACATTGAAACAATTATCCATTTTAATCTTTTAAATAACTTCAGCTTCAGCACATTTTTCTTATTTCTTCTAGTGCCACACACACAGATAAATTAAACCCACCCAGAAAGGAAAATTAATCCACTATATTGTATGACTGTGTGTGTATCTATATATATGTTTGTGTATGTTTATATAGGTAGATACACAAATATGTAAAAAGGTGCCTACTCTTTATAATAGTATCTACTTATACATGTAATTATTTGATGGAATGTGTTAATTTTTATTTCTTAGTATTTTTTTATGTATCCATTTATAAAATGTCTCTCTGTGACCTATACATAAAAAAATGGACGGTGGGAAGGGAAGCTGTTACCATTCCTAGAAGAAAGATGGTAGACTTGGAAATATGATTTGGTTTAAATTCTGAACTTACATGTAAGAACTACAAGAACTTGGAAGCCTTTTAATTTCAGTACAGTTTTCTGTAAAAAAAAATTAAAATCATATCTTAAAAAGCACTCCAGCAAGTTATTACAAGAATTAATTAACGTTGTAAAATATGGCTAGCCAGCATCTCAATGAGAGGATTGTGGTGCTTCAAAATAATTTCTTTCATAGTTTTTGATTGTAAGCAATAAAGTAAGTTTACTGAAGTGTCTCCATTTATTGGGATCAAAAGCAGAAAATACCTTACTTCAAAGAACTGCCAGACCACCCTATAAACGGCGCTGTGTGAACTTACTTTTTCCCTCTTTAAGTAGACAGCCACATCAGAACCTGGCTGGTTTTGACCACCTCCTGTGTAGCTCTGTCTGCTTACTTCCCATTTCAGACCCAGCTCCGTTCACTTAAAACCTTAATCATGCATTCCCAGACGTCCTTTGTGGAGGGCTTTGGCGGCGTGGAATAGTGGCAGAGATGTGGCACTTCATTTCATCTTTTGTCCTTCTGCCTCTTCTAGCCCTGGGGGGAGGAAGAGAGAACACCAGCAGCAAATGCAGAGTGGTGTCCTCAGAGGATAGGACTAGACAGTGTTCTGATTCAATGAGTATCATCGTGTGGAGAAGGGGGTGTCCTGGCACCAACTCACTTCACTAATGAGAGCTTTGACCTTTTTTTTCCACTCTTGATTTAATTTATTTTTAAATTTATTACAATTTATTCACTTTGTATACCACCTGTAGCCCCCTCCCTCACCCCCTCCCAATTGAAACCTCCTTCCCTCTTTTCCTCCCATGCCCCTCTCCCAGTCCACTGATAGGGGAGACCTCCTCCCAGTCCATCTGACCCTAGCCTATCAGGTCTCATCAGAACTGGCTGCATTGTTTTCTTCTGTGCCCTGGTACAGCTGCTTTGCCCTTAGACATCATCTCTCTTTAAACAATTTAGTCATACCTTTGTGTGACTTAGCACCTACGCATTAGCTGTCTTGTCCCATATTGTGAGGTCATCAGATGATAGATATGCCAGATCCTGATGACAGCTACCTTGAAACAGTGGTGTTCAGCGGAGCAAAAATCATAGTCTTTTCTTCTGCAGAGTGTAGAACTCAATGAGATGTCCTCCTGGATTCTCTCACCTGGCATCCTTCATTGCATTATCTCTTCTACCTGGCTTGGTGAGGAGTCACTGAGCAGGACTATTCCGTGAAGAAGCCTGTGTCTTCTCTTTCTATGAGAGGGCTCCAAATTAAAGAGCCATTCCCTTGCCTTCTTCTTTAATAAGAACATGGCGTTGCTTTCTGTTAAAGTCCAAGCAGTCTCAGCCATCTTACACTCACTGTGGGTGACAGGAAGACTTAACTTTTAAATGAGTTCTTCAAGACTCTGGACAAGTGACTGGGACACATTATTTATCATTCTGAGCATGGTATTCTTAGTATTTTCTTCGTGTTTTGATTCATAACAAATTCTGGGACTATAAAATAAATATCCTTAACCTTATTGAAAAGTCAAGGGTATAGATCCACACAAGCCTGACCGGTAAAGATTCAGTTAAGCATGAACAGGTAGGTAATATAACACCAAAAAGCTCAAGAGTTTAAAAAGAGTTCATAACCTTTAGTGGAACTCGTAAGTGATTAAATCAGAGAAAATTGTTCTTGGATCTCATAGCTTTTCTTAATAGAATAAAGTCTAAAAGCAATTATGGCATACGCTGAATATGTATTTTTTTAATAGTAAGAAATTTTGCTGAATGTTGCCAAGATGAATGACTCCATTTGCTCTGAACAGTAAGAGTAGCGATGAAGAAAATGGAAGGAAAAAATGTGTATGGAACAAACTGTTTCGAGATGAATGTCTCTTGCCTTTAATAATAATATGCAACTGATAATATTAGACACTCTTCAGGAAAAATACAGTGTTCCCCAAATAAGGATTACCTCCTCCGCTCCTTTTAAGTGAAAATAATCCAATGAACGTACGCGAAGAGAATCAATTCACCTTTATTTTGACTTGAATAAAATAATAGACCAGATTTGACAGTTACTGTTAATTTTCGAGGGACAGAAACTAGAGTATCCTGAGAGATAGGCCTGTGGGGCTTGAATGCAGTAATTGAGGTGGAAAGCCTCACCCACTATGGGTGGTGCCATTCTCTGGCTGTGACCCTGGACTGTGTAAGTAAAGAAAAGCTGAGCAGTAGCATTCATATGTGGCCCTCTGCTTCCTGGTTGTGGATACAGTGTTGCCAGCTGCTCCAAGCTCTTGCAACCTTAACTTCCCTGTCCCGCAGACTGTAGCAATGAACTGCGGGTCAGAAGGAACCCTTCTCTCCTTGAAGTTGTTTTGGTCTGAGTATTTTATCACAGTGACTAGAAGAGAAACTAAGGCACTAGGGGAGATGCTGTTTGTCACCATAAGCCTCAACTTCCCTATTAATTTATTGTTTTGTGTCTTAAGTGATGAGCTGAGCTGTTCCTTTCATCTTCCTACAGACGGCAGCCCGTGAGCCCTCCTCCACCACCGCGGCCAATTTCCCCACCTCATACTTACGGCTACATTTCAGGACCCCTTGTCTCAGATATGGATACAGATGCCCCAGAAGAGGAGGAAGACGAAGCTGACATGGAAGTTGCCAAAATGCAGACTAGAAGGCTTTTGTTACGTGGGCTTGAGCAGACCCCAGCCTCCAGTGTCGGGGACCTTGAGAGCTCCGTCACTGGGTCCATGATCAATGGCTGGGGCTCAGCCTCAGAAGAGGACAACATTTCCAGCGGGCGCTCCAGTGTCAGTTCTTCGGATGGCTCCTTTTTCACGGATGCTGATTTTGCCCAGGCAGTTGCAGCAGCCGCGGAATATGCTGGCCTGAAAGTGGCTCGTCGCCAAATGCAGGATGCTACTGGTGAGTTCTGCACACCCTTCCCCAACAGAAGTACACAGTGTCCCAACATGCATCCATGCGAAATAATTCTCCAGTTTTTCTTTCCCTTTCTTTTTTAGAACCCATGGAAAACATGGGTTCTAAGTATGAGTTGGTTTGCTTATGGTGTTTTATTTATTATTTTTGTTAAACGTAGCAAATGTACATAGATATGTTTACATTTGTAAACATATTTCTTCATTTGTCCATATATGTTTTAGGCAATTGATAATTTCTTTAAGGTTTAATTATATTCAGCAAAATGAACTTTATGCTACTGTGTACACATTATAAGTGGTTTTAATGCAGAAAGTTACTAAAATGAAATTCACTTTGTTGGTTCTATTTAATTAGCACTTCTGTAATCTAAATAAGAAAATAAGCCGGTTGGAAGAACTCAAACCATTGGGAAATGGCTCTTTAGCCTCTTAGATTAGTCACCGTGATCACAATCCCTGATGGGAACTCCATCAGAGACAGCAGTTACCCTGTGGCTCCGTGAGGAAGGCAGGGCAGAGGAGCCCACTTCCTGGCAGGCGCTCGTTTCTGTGGTCGCTCACATTGTAAGACAGATGAGGCTGGAATCCCACCAGGACCAGCAGCAGGGCTAACATCCGAAGACCTGCTTCTTAGGATCCATGTCTGCCTGCCAGACTCTAGGCTGTAAAGGTTCCGTGGTCCCCACAACAGAACTACCAGCCAGGGAACCAGCACTTGATATGAAAGTCTGTGGAAGGACAGTGCAGATTGAACCCAGAATGCCATTTAACTGGAAAGATGTTTGAAATATGCATACATCTTAAAGCATTAATATTTCATATTTTTAATCTAAGAGTTGAAAGAGCAAGTTAATATAAATGCATATTACTTTTTCCTCACTCCCCTTTTCATTGCTATAGCCTAGTGTAATGAATGTACTTACTTTCAAATCATTTTTACTTAATTCTTCCTCTCCACTCTTTCTTAGAGAGGAAGTAGCATAAGAAAGAAAATAATTGAAATTTCAACAAACACCCTATGGTCTTTGTGTAGAATGACTATGTATGTGTGTGTGTGTGTGTATTGTGCACGTCTGTGTGTGTGATTATGTGCTTATTTCTGGTAGCTGACAATATGCAAATAGCCAAGGAAAACAATATGGTCAAGAAGAAAGAAACCTATTTCAGGAAAGGAAAAGATCATCACGAGTGAAAAACTGCTGCCTGCTTTAATTTCCATAGCTCAGTACCTGTCACATTGATAGCCTCCCTTGCTCTCTTGAGATGCTGTACTAGTCATTACTTTTTTTCTGTGTAGAATAGACTCACAGACATTTCACTTATAGCACGAGACCATCTCTGTACATTATTCATTGTATGGAAAAAGATGTATAATATTTATCAACACATTATCACAGAATATCTATTTATTTCAGGCTTATGTTTTATAAAATGTAACCAAATATTTTTTTCCCAGTAGCAGCAAACCTAATTACCGTTATTAATAAATAAATAACATCTAATTATATATATTTTTATCTTTGTTTTTAATCTTCTGTAAAAAAAATAATCACATGAAATTATCTGAAACCCCTATTTTCAGATTGCATTAATGGCGTGTTTCAGCCCATTAAGTCAACAAAACATAGGAATAACGCTGAAAATTCATCTGTAAATGACCTTATGCCTCAGGGTCTATGAGCAGTAGATGGTCTTATACGATAGAATGAGTAATGGTTTCCATCTCAGCCCTAATTCTCTGTTTTCATGGATATGTAACTTTAATTGTAATAGTCTCCATCATAGCTAAAGAGAGTTGGGTTTAATATTTTATTGTATTGTAATTTAGTGGCACTTCTGGTTTCATTTGGCTCATAATTATAATGAACTAAACATGCACTGGCCTCTGCCTATTACAGTACTCTCTGGAAGAAATGGCAGTGCTTATCATGTGACTTGAAGTTAATATGAATGGATAACCCGGTCACATTGCTTCTCACTTGGCTGCATTTATGTCCATTATTTAATGTGCCTCAGTTAGCACTTTTAAATGTGTTGATTTCAGTGTATGTGGCTTCTCTTGCTTATAGCCAGAGGACATGTCTGTTTCTTGTAGTTTCTTGTAGTTTAATAGAAAGCAGTAGTAGTCTTTTGGATGGAATTTCCAGAAACCAAAATACTGTAGGTTAGCATAGCACTGAGAGCCTTTCTTTGTCATTTTAGATGAAACAAGTTGTACCGATTATAACATACCATCACTGTTAGGGCCAGGGAATTTGATGCCACTGAAATGTGCAGCCTCTTAGCAAATTAAATTTGCACTATCAACCGGCAATTTTGCCTCCCCAGAAACACTATCACTAACATGCTGGAATCTTGAAGGGGCCATTGGATACTGAGGCTTGACAAATACCGTGAAGCAGAAAAGACAGAGAAGGACACCTGAATTGACTATGTATGTGAGCTAGATCAAGTGCAGAGCACTTGCAAAGGGAATACCCAAGAACGGTACGAGGTCATCAGGGTTCAACCTTCAAAGAGTACCATAAACACACTTAGTTAAAATAAGGGCATAATTAATCTGGTTCATTTTTACAGCATGAATTTATTAATGAATCTGATTCTTCCTCTTATAAAAGCAACAAGCACTGAATATGTACAAGAAAATAATAACATTTTAAAAACATGTTAGTGATGATAGCTGAAAATATAATTGTGGCGTTTTCCTTATGCAAAAGATCATGAACTTTAGTAGAATAAAAGTCCTATGGTTTCTACAAAAACAAAAAGACTAACAGTGCTTACGGATGTTTTCTCCAGCATAAATAGAAGGAGGGAGAGCTCGTTAATTGGTGGGTGTTACATGCTTTCAAATTAGGAATTGTTTCTGGCTTGGTTTTCTCTGGCTGATCCTGTGCCATTAAAATTCACTGATGAGTGTGGCCTTCCTCCACAGGCCGACGACATTTCCATGCCTCTCAGTGTCCTAGGCCCACGAGTCCTGTGTCTACAGACAGCAACATGAGCGCTGCTGTCATCCAGAAAGCGAGACCCGCCAAGAGACAAAAACACCAGCCAGGACATCTGCGCAGAGAAGCCTATACAGATGGTAAGTCCATCGAAATGGTTGAAAACATCTATGAGGCTCCTCTATTTCCCCTGCTTCTCTATGGCTGGTCAGTGTGTTCGCTGCCATTAGAAAGTACATTAGTATTCATTAAGAGTAGCCTTATATTACTTACAGGAACAAAACCCCTTCACATCTTGTCAACCATCTTTAGCCTTTGCAGTTTCCTAAGCAGCTGGTTATTTAAGAAATTAAATAAATATTTTACAGTTTATTTTATGGTTTTACACAATGGCCATGACTATAGTAGATGTCATAGCATTGGATTAACCTTTGTCAGCACCACTGATCAAATCTCCAAAATATCTGTATCTTCTTCATTCTCTCTTTGAAAAATAATCTTGCACTGAAATAAAGTGCAATAAAGGTACGGGGACATTTTTGCAATCACAGTGGCTTTACAGATAGCCTGTGCACCAAAAGGCACCTCAAACCCTCTTCATGATGCCTTCAAATGCAATATGGACTCTTGCTGAAGAGGGAACACTTGTATTCTCGAGGGGGCAGAGGAGAATAATACAAACATTGTGATGTTGTCTAGAGAAAGCCTTTAATGAAAGTGCCTCAGGTGGCTCAGCGTTTATTAAACCACCGCCACCTTCTCATTTTATAAAACAACCCTTCGGGCCTTATTGGAAATTCATGTAAGATAAATTCTCTCAGACTCACCCATCTTGTCAAGTTTTCTGAATTCACTGAAGGGGTAGGGGAAGTATGGTGTCACGGTAGCTTCCCAACCTCCTGCGTGTCCACAGCCGCAATCCGATTAGGACTTTCCTTACCAGGCAGCAATTTTTCATAAAGGCCATCATTTGCTATTACCACATGAAGGCTTAATATTAGAGGTCCGTATTCAAGGTTGTGGAGAAGGGGTATTTAAAGGTACTTTTCCTTGTGAGTCTTGCCACTTGACAGAAAAATTTAATACAAAGCTCACAGCATGATGAGCACAAGTAATTTTGCGAAGAGTGGCTGTCCATGCTATTCTCTGGAGTTCATTCTGAGTATTTTCTCTCACTACCGTCTATCTGATATTAGACTACATTAAATACGGGCATGACACAGCACACCTGGGGCTCCTGGCTTCTGCCCGGGACTCTTCTGTCAGTGAAACTGAGCTGTCAGAACATTATCTGATTTTGAAGGGTTATTACAGTGGCTCTTCCATGTTTGCCTCTGTGAAGGGACAAATACTAGGTGTAAATCCTCAAACTCTACAGGCAAGCTTACATTTATGGGACCCCTGTAATGGCATTTTACAAGTTTTATTGCTGTTTTATCAATGTTTATTATCTAGAAGACAGGAGTCTTCACTGGAAGGCTGGTCAAACGTCAAGCTTCGATGTAAACACATCTAAATTGAACACATATGGAAAAATCTGGCCTAAAACTTTGTGTAGATCTGTCTACCTCTTATTTATATGTATTTAGAGAGGAGTCAGGCCATGCCTCTAAAAATGCTGTGAATAGTGAAAACTTGCTGGGTTAACCAGCAGAGCATCACAGTTATATATTATGCCATTCTTGAGAATTATTATCTGTTTTTGTGTCCTGCATTCCACAGGACTTGTTTTGATGTATTTAAAAACTAAATATGAATAGTAACTAATCCTTGAATAGAGAATATTAAATTGAATGATGAATCATTCAAGTTATTTTTTAATTTAATTTCAGTAATACCAAAGAACTATACTAAAATGTGTAAAACTAAAAAGTTAATGTGAAATATTACTTGGATTTCAAATAGCTCATTTCACAAAAGTGGTTATGCAAATTATCAGTGCTTACTGCAATGCAATAGTTTTCCATAACTCATGAAAATAAACGATGGAAAAATAAGTTAAGATGGTTTAAAATTGTAGCTTTATCTTCCTTTCAACATAGGGAAACATGATCCATCTTTAAGTTATGATTACTAGACTGTTTCTTCAATCCATTTCTGAAAATTTCTTTGAAAAAGCTACATGTTAGTTATATCTCCTAAAATGGATATTAATTATTTAAGATCACAAAACTCAGGTCTTTTTTAATGCACCAAACAAAAGAAGTAAAAAGATCATACTTACACCCCCCACACACACACACACACATATACATTTTGTAAATCTGGTACTCAAACCCAGGGCTTTGTGCTTCTCCCTGCCAAACCTAATATGTGTATACTCTTGATAGCATCTTTGAGATAGAGATAAAAGGGATTTTCTCAGAAAGTAATTTTATCAACTTATTATACTGTATTTAGAAAATATATCTAAGTGGCTGGCGACATTGACTCAGCTGTTAGGAGCACTGGCTGTTCTTCCAGAGGACCCAGGTTCAATTCCCAGCACTGAAATACCAGTTCACAAATGTCTATAAGTTCAGTTCCAGAAGATCTGATACCCTTGTACAGACATAGATGCAGGAAAAACAATAATGCACATTAAATTAAAAAAATAAAAATTAAGGAAAATATATCTACAGATCATATTTTGAAGAATCCTAGTAGCAAATGCAGTTTTTTACAGTGTGTGTTAAAAGATTAGTAGGTAAAAGAAAGAATTTGAGACATTTTTTATTAAAATCTTAATTGGATGTATTAGTAAAGTGTGAATGATGTCTTAATTACGGTTTTATTGCTGTGAAGAGACACCATGACCAAAGCAACTCTTATAAAGAAAAACATTGAATTGGGACAGGCTTACAGTTTCAGAGGTTCAGTCCGTTATCCTCATGGCAGGAAGTGTGTAGGCAAGCATGGTGCTGAAGTAGTCAAGAGTTCTACATCTTGATCCTGCAGGGAGCAAAAGGAGACTGTGTGCCAAACTGGGTGTTGCTTGAGCGTAGGTGACTTCAAAGCCCACCCCACAGTGACACACTTCTCCCAACAAGGCTACACCTCCTAATAGCCCAAGCATTGAAACATATGAGTCTATGGGGTCAGTTGGTTTCCTTTTTCTTAAGTGCAGTATACTGGCTGTGATGGATGGGTGTGGTTATTGGTTATCAGTTTTAAGAACTACATTCAAAATAAATAACATTCTTGAGTTTACAGCATCTTTACTTTATAAATATCCAAATTTCAATTTCTCCATTAAATAGTTTTCTTAGCTGCAGTTCATTAACTTTGTATCCCAGCTGTAGCCCACTCCCTCGCTCCCTCCCAATCCCATGTTCCCTCGCTCATCTCCTCCCTGCCCCTTTCCAAGTCCACAAATAGGGGAAGTCTCCTCAGCATTGAAAAGAATAAACAGGACTTCTTTCTGAGTCAAGAAAGTGGGGTTTTTGATGATCCCTCTCAGCTAGTCTCAGCTGTGGCTTGCTGTCATGAAACAGTACCTCAGAGTTTACAATTAAAACAACACACTGAGCATTTCCTCAGAGGTCTGGAAGGTAAAGTTCAATACTGAGTTGTGAGCAGCATTGCATCCTTTTCATTTCTTTCTCCTGTATCTTCTCACAGTCTTTCTTCAGTCTGTATCTGTTCTCTAAACTCTTTTTACAAGAGCGTTAGTCTTACTGGATTGGACCCCACCTGGTAAGCTCCTTTTAATTTTACTGCTTCTTGAAAGGCTCCAAATACAGTCAAAGTCTTAGCTAATGGGGCTTGTGGCTTTGAATGTGGTGTTTGACAAGGACATAATTTATAGCACAAGAGCCCAAAGGCCCCTCCAACACTGTGGCCACGCCTTGCCCGTAGGTAAATATTAGGCACCATGAACACTCAAGGAACACTTGCCTGCAAAGCAGAGTGCCGCATCCTCCAGCCCTGATTATTTATTTATTTCATGTTTGCTACTTTCATGCTTAACCCAGATGGGGGATAGGATTAAAATGTATGAATATTTATCAGCTGAAGGCTTGTGGAGTTAAAGTACATTTCTAGGACCTTCTAATAGTCTTCCCCCGCCTTTTCAACCCTCCCAATACATTTACATACTTGATTTAAAAACCAAGTCTATAATATTTTTCCAGTCCTACTTTTCATAAATTATAAATTCACCATCCTCTTTAGAACGATGCTATTTTGACTTGATTTATCATTAATTACAAGGTCTTGGAACTTCAAGCGGTTACATAAATAGCGTACTGGATCTGTCTAGCAAGTTAACGCCGCGCCACACGCCGCGCCACGCCACACGCCGCGCCACCAGGTTTCCCTACGTATGTGTTTCTGTGCATTACTGTGCGTGTGGTATTGTTTGTTAGCTGCAGATTCTCGTAAACGGAGAAACTGTTAACAAAATGACGCAAAGGGAGGCTGGAGAGATGGCTGAGAGGTTAAGAGAACTTGCTGCTTTTGCAGAGTCCCCAGATTCAGGTCTCATCACCCGCATGGCAGCTTCTGATCACTTGTAACTGCATCTCCAGGTGATTCAGCACCCTCATTGGCCTCCAACGGCACCGGGCATACACATGAAGCTCATACATATATGCAGGCAAACATCTACAAAAAATAACCTTTAAAAAAGATTATGTAAAACTTTCAAATACTAGGTCCATCGTTTCCTCATTTTAAAATTCAATTTAAAGTAATGCATAAATTGGGGGAAACAAGGGAAAATAGAGAATTTTTCATGTAAAAGTATCCTGTAATTTAGCTTCAAAATCATTTCATAACACCTTAGGAAGAAGAAATTATTCAGCAGTCTTTTTACATAACACATGGAACCTGCTAGCATTAGCTGTCGGTTAGATACAGTGACAATTATATATGGGCAGTTATGATCCTTAGCAAGGTCACTGGAGTGGCGGACAACATCTCCAAAGAATTCCACTAATACATTTCCTTTAGAACTTTGGATTCCCACGATTCTGTTTGACCGTATGAAAGTAGTAACAGTTGTCATAGTCTTTGATACCCCGAAGAGCCCAGATATTTTGTTATTTAATAAAACCGAAGGTCTCTCACCTCCTGATAAAGCATTTGCAGTTGGCTTATGTTTATAGCAAACAGCAGAACCCAATGAGAAGACAAACGCCATGCCTTTTGCCCGCAGTACACCTGGTCTTAGCTTCTTCTCATTTCACTCTCTGCCCCAGCTTCCAGCCACTCTGCCTAGCACCTCACAGTTCAAACCATCCATTAAAGTCTATTTCTTAACTCTTTCTTGTCTTCTTCACTTTCATTTTGTGTATGTGATGTGCCAGACAGATACTCTGCTACTGGCATTCATCTCCATTTAGCACCAACCAACAGAGAACTTGAATCATACTTAGAGTACTTATCTCTAAGTATTGCTTTGGGTCTGGGTATGGTAGTATAGTCTCTAAACCCAGCATTTAGAAGACAGAGGCAAATGGCTCTCTATGAGTTCAAGGTCAGCCTGGTCTACATAGTGAGATGCTATCTCAGGTAAAACAAAACAAAACAAAACAAAACAAACAACACCAAGAAAGCAGTAACCACAAAATAAAAGATCCAATTGAAGTAGTCAACAAAGGGGGAAATCTATACAGTTAGTGACTGTGGCCATGTGTGTGCTAGGGATTCAAGAATTAGAGGGAAATAATCTATACTTTGGCCACAGATGGATTGCGACTATTAGTAAGATACTATAAAACAGTAAGCCATGAAATATAGTAATACATTTTTGCTTTTTTTATCATACTGAAATCTTTTTAATATAATTTTTACGTATTACAGTTTATTCTCATTGTATTGCAGCTGTAGCCCCATCCTCACCCCCTCCCAATACCACCCTCCCTCCCGCATTTCCTCCCATGTCCCTTCCCCAGCCCACTGATAGTGGAGGACCTCCTCCCTTTCCATCTGACCCTATCCTATCAGTCTCATCAGGACTGCCTTTCATAATCTTTCTCTGTGGCTTGGTAAGGCTGCTTCCCCTCCCTTAGGGGGAAGTGATCAAAGAGCCAGCCACTGTGTTCATGTCAGCGACAGCCCCTGGTCCCCTTACTAGTGAACCCACTTGTACTCTGAGCTTCCATGGGCTACCTCTGTGCAGGAGTCCTAGGTTATCTCCATGAATGGTCTTTTGTTGTATTATCAGTCTCAGAAAAGACCCCTAGGCCCAGATTTTTTGGCTCTGTTCTCCTCCTTGTGGAGCTCCTGTACTCTCCAGTTCTTTCTAACTCTCCCTTCTTTCATAATATTCCCTGCACTCTGTGCAAAGTGTGTCTATGAGTCTCAACATCTGCTTTAATACCCTGCTGGGTAGAGTCTTTCATAGGCCCTCTGTGGTAGGCTCCTGTCTTGCTCCTTATTTTCACCTTTTTCCGATGTCTATCTGGTTTGCCTTTCTGAATGAAAATTGAGCATCTAACCCAGGGTCCTAAGAATACAACAAATAGCCAGGCATAGTGGCACATGCCTGTTAACCCAACACTTGGGGAGGCAGAGGCAGTTGTATCTCTGTGAATTTGAGGCCAGCCTGGTCTAAACTGAGTCCAAGACAGCCAAGGCTACATGGAGAAACCCTTTCTCAGAAAAAAATAAAATAAAAAGAAAGAGAAAGAAAGGAAAGAAAGAAGGGAAGGAAGGAAGGAAGGAAGGAAGGAAGGAAGGAAGGAAGGAAGGAAGGAAGGAAGGAGGAAAAGAAGGAAAACAGCAAGTGGTAAAATGGTGGTTCAAGATTTTTTCTTTTATAGTCAAGTACAATTTTTTCTGATGTCTTAACTTCAGCCTGCAGTGTCAAAGGAACTTTAGTTTTAAAAGACCTACTTTTTGTTAAAAGAAGAAGAGAGAGTTGGTTCCTTTTATAAATAAATATGTACATAAATGCATGCATAAATACATAAAAGAGTGAGATCCTACATTAAACTAATGTTATTCAGTTCTTCCATTTAGTATTGTAAGTAAGGATCTTTAAGGTACATTTTGGTGGTCGTGGTGGTTGAATAGAAAGCCTCTCGTAGCCTCATGTAGGCTTGGACCTTGTTGTATAGCTGAAGAGAACCCTGAATGTCCGATTCTCCTGCATCTGCATCCTCAATACTGAGATCACAGGCATACACCTCCATGCCCAGTTTTTTTGGTGCTAAGGATCCAACCCAAGGCACTGTGTGTGCTGAGCAAGCATTCTGACTATTGCTACTCTCCATGTCCTTCAAGGTACAGTTTCGATATTGAAGAATTTCTCATGCAAGCACATAGGAATGACAGTTAGTGCTTGTTGTCAATGTGAGCAGAACATCTGTAAACAGCCTATATATTCCTCTGTGGGAAATGACTGCCTAGTGATGCACTTACTGAGCAAAACATTATACAAAAAAGAATGTATGTATTCACTTGGATATGTGTGCAGTTACATGACTAGGCGGAAGAAACATTGCAACTCATGTTAGTAAAGATGCAAGGCTGTTTATTTTTATATGAGGCTTTTTATCAGGTCACCACGTACAGATGGATAGGTACTGTACAGAGCTCCCCATAACCATTGCTGATAATGCCTGGCTGTGGATGGTGCTCCTTTGAATCATGCGATTTAGCATCGCAGTTTTGTTGTCCAAAAGAAATTTCTAGAGTGAGCTATAGAAAACTGTCAAAACTCTTCATAATCAGTACTGGGGACTGAAATGGAGATGAGGAGATAGAAGATGGACTGCCATCTCTCCATTCTTATATGACTTTAATATTTTCCCATGTAATCTTTTTTTTTTTTACCGTGAATACTTTTTATTTGAAATCGCAAGGTTAACCTTATACTATTTTTTCAAATATTTTATGAATCCTTACCTATATTTTTATGTTACCTTTCAAATCTGAAAACATTGCTCTATTGCTCTACCTACAGACATGACTAAGCACATAGTAACGTTGATTGCTTTCTCTGATGTTGACTCCTCTTGAAATGTTCTTTGATCACGTAACTAGCTATTTTTCATTTCTGTCCGGATGCTCTGAAAGACCCTTCTATTCACTTTCCTAAAATTGAATTCATACATCTTTGCAAGAGCCTCTTCCTCATTCCTGCACTCCACACCTGCAGGGATATTGTCACGCCTACAGTGTAAACTATGGCCAAACCTTAGGTGCCATTCTCTGCCTGCTTCCTCTCCCAGTACTATATCCCATTGATCATTAAGTAATAGTAATTGCCCCCTTTACCACTCGAATGTATTCTCTGTTCTCCTTTAAACAGCCACTGTGATAGTGCATCTCCTATCTGTGCATATGTACACAATTAGTACAACCTCTTACCCTCCCAGAATAAAGTCTCTTTTATTGTCATTTATCTTTCACAGCATAGTCAAGACATCCTGCCCCTGAAAACGTGTTCATATTAAGTTAACTTACCAAATGCTATTAAAATATATTTTTCTTTATTAATGGAATATATATATAGGAATGATTTTTATAAATGTCAGTACTGCTTAAGAATGAATTTTTTAGGTATTAAATTATATGCGTATTTTCTTTTGATATACATCCATGATGTAAATAATTTAAATTAATATGTTATAATTAATTAATATGTGCTTAAAAGACAACTACTGGATATAGGTTTACATATAAAACAAGAAATTAAACCTATGTTTCTGTGAGTAATTATCTGTTTTAAAATGTCTGGGTACAGGGTAGAGAAAGCCTTAATTATACTGAAGATTTGTGTGATTAAATAAAATAATATAAAGAACAGTATAGTAGAGATCAAGAATCGAAAGGCAATAGTCTTTTGTGTGCTGCAAGACAGCTTTGATATCAGAAAATGAGTTAAAATCTATGTGGAGCTTTTTACCTACAAATTAAGAAAGGATTTAAGTCAGATTAGAGATGGCAATTAAAACTTAAGTGCAGCCTTAATCAATTTGAAGAGGTTGCCTAAGATGGAGGAGAATATTCACCTAAGACCCAGGAAAGCTTGCTGAAATCAAATAGGAGGCTCTGCTAGGTTGGAGGGGGGGAAAGTACGCTGAATATGCACAGTAGTAGCTAGCCCCACAGTAGATAGTCTCCAAGCCCTGATTCTATGCTTCAATTTTTCCTTGCTGGATGATGATAAAATATTAAAATTATTGGTCCTCAGTTTTGTTACCTTCAATTATTCTAGGCCACGGAATATATCACAACTGAATGTGACTCCAGTGATAAACCTAGTTTTCATGAATTTACACGTCAGATCTCACAACATTTAAAATATTCTCTTTAGACCTTCCACCCCCGCCAGTGCCACCACCTGCTATAAAATCGCCCACTGTCCAGTCGAAGGCACAGCTGGAGGTGCGACCTGTAATGGTGCCGAAACTCCCGTCTTTAGAAGCAAAACCAGACAGATCATCAGACAGAAAAGGAGGCAGTTACAAGGGGAGAGAAGCACTGGATGCCAGACAAGCCACTGACCTGCGAGCAAATCCGAGTGACCCCAGAGAAGCACAGGAGCAGCAAAATGATGGGAAAGGACGAGGAAACAAGGCAGCAAAGCGAGACCTTCCACCAGCAAAGACACACCTCGTCCAAGGTACTGATTCTCCAAACTGCAGACAAAGGCAGAATTCCCTAAGAATTCCCTACATGGGTAGGCCTTTTGTAGCTATATGAAAAGTATGATTAACATGGGGTGGGAATGCGCCCAGCTTATTTAATAGTTTGTTCCAATACATGACATCACACAAGCGTCTTTGAAGAGATGTCCTATGAATTAATTTTTTTTAATTTAATTTCATTCTATTTGTTATTCTTACGCGATTTTAAGGGAAAGCATGATTTCAGTAGAGTAAACAAGGATAATGTAGATATCAGGAAAAGGAAATATATCAAGAAAAGGTAGTGAAAGCTTGAAAAATAAATGTTTAGTGACCAATGGTTGCCAGTTTTTGGATAATAGGACCAGGGATAAATATCAAAAGACAGCAGTAGTGAAGTGATTAGATAGTAAAAGCCAAGGATACCATGAGAAAGACTCTTAGATATATTGTATAGGCAATAGGGAGCCATTTTGATGGGGGAGGAGGAAGAGAGGGTAATAAAACAGATGTGATCTCAAACACAGAAAGAAGGACTGTTTGATAGGAATAAGGGAACCATGCAGAGGCTACCCAGAGGAGTGGGGTTGGATCATGGGAGAGAAGGGTGAATTTGAACATTTGAACTAAGTCCAGTATGAGAACACTATGTATAAAAATGCCACAGTGAATCCTTGTTTCTTTGTGTGCTAACTTTAAATTTAATTAATAAAAAATACTTAAGTAAAGAAATAGTGTAATACGATTTGTGGCTTAGAAAAACTAACTTACAGCCCAGGATAGTGAAAGAGGAGACTAAATATCAGGTGTGGCATCACAGTAATAATCTAAGTATGAAACATCAAGTGAGTTAAGATAACATAAAAGAAATGCAAAAATAGCCAGTATGTGCATGTCAGAGATAGGCACAGCAGTACTATGCAGCTACAAAAATGGCAAAATATAAGTTAAAACAATATAGTTTAAATAAAAAAGGAAGTTATTCACATAGTGACTGTGAGGTTCAGTGTGGCTGATGGAACAGCTGTACTAGCCAAATTAAAACAAGAGAAATTCATAGATGTCATGAGGAGGATACTTTTTATTATTATTATTAAGATGCTCACCATAACAAAGACATAAAAAAGTTATTAAGAGTTGAAAAAAACTCGGCTAAAAGATCAGGATAAAGCATCAGACTAGGATCAGCTTTTAGAACATGCAGCACTGAGGTAATAACTGTATGAATTATATAAAGATTAAATGTCAGCAGTGATGACATACAGGCAGTGTTTGTGAATCAGTTCTCTAGGAGGAAAAACAAAGCAATGTTGTAGCAAGTCCATCACCTCTATTGTGTCAATGTTTCCCAAAGGCTAAAACTCTAGCTGTTAACATGAAGTCAATGAATGTGAAACTAGACAGAGATGCGCACAGTAAGTTCCTGTGAAATGTCCCAAGGTGTCGTGATTATTCTGCAATTGGAAGAGAATCCACATTCTCTAAAGCACAGTGAAATCGTTCACCCAAATCATGATAGCTAATGTATGGAAAGTCATATCCCATTCTCTGCATTATAACCAGTTGTGGATCTCTGTTTAAAAAAAAAAAAGTCTTCATCTCTAGTAAAAATAAGTATCTTTGATGAGACAGGAGAGCTAAGCATAACTGTGAGTATGAGGATAAGGATTTAGAATATAGTTAGAAATTATGTCAGCTGCAGAGAATTGCCATGGTAGGGTCTCTTCTAGTGTCTGTGACCTCTCCAGCTGCAGAAGGTTGGCATACACTACCAGGTACGAATTCCTTTCCATCAGTCCAACTAAGTTCAGTTAAACAGCTGTTGGTTACACTGAAGACTGGAAGTCCCATTGGGAATATCTTGTTGGGGACAGTTGCCGTGATTTCAAGCATTACAGCTAGGTAGGACTACCCCAGTTGATATATCTTCAACGAAAGCCCTACAACTAAAGCTGAGGAAACATCACAGAAGAGAGGCTGAAGGATTCTGAGATACAAATGAATAAGACGCTAGGTAGTATCCTCTAGATATAAAAGAGAAAAATGTACCCATGACTTTTTGACATTGTGCTTGAAAAGAACAAACACAAGACACTTCCAGTTGACATACCAATGTGGATAGGCTAAATTACATAAAGTTGCCAATGTGGATAACCTAAATTACATAAAGTTCTACCCCTAAGCAAAGAATCCTCTCTCTGTGGCCAATGGCTACAGAGAGAGGATCATTTTCCTTCAAAGATGAGTTTCCACTTAAATTGCCCAATCCCAAATGATTAGTCTTGATCACATGTACATATAAACAACCGTAAATGGACCCAGTAGATTGTATATATGTGTGCAGGACAATAATAATTTTTAAAAAGGAGTCATACATTAGGGATGGAGTTATCATACTTGTGTATGAAGTTCTAAAAATATATTTGAATATTATCCTCAAGTTAGAAGTAGATGGATGGTAGAGTGCTTACCAACAGACGCTTCAGGTTGTGTCAACATCATTCATGTGCACACACATCTCTAGAAAGAAAGGAGGTAAGAAATATAAAAGGGCTGAGGAAATGACACAGCAATGAAAACACTTACTTTCAAAGCATAGGACCTAAGTTCAGATCTCCAGAACCCATGGTAAATGCTGGGTCGACATTGCTGTCCACCGCCAATTCCAGCTTTGGAAGCAGAGGCAGGAAGTCTTCAGAGCCAGCTGCCTAGCAAGACTAGCCATGAGCGAGCTCTGGGTTTGACTGAGAGAACCTGCCTCAATAAATACGAAGGAAGAATGGTGGATGGTGATTCCAGACATTAAGCTCAGGCATCTATGTGAACACACACACAAACCTGCACATATCTATGCATACCATACACATACACATGAGAAAGTAGCAAAAGGAAAAAAAAAGTGTTGCATGTGTGTGCAACCTATGACTAGGATCCTGCCCCCCCAAAAAAAAATTAAAGAAAAATAAAACTTCACAAGGTGAAAGTTTGATGTTGTCTTATGAGAAAAAGGAATTTTCGGAATGTGTCATCCACGATAACTGTGTACTGTTGACTGCAAAAGTCAGAATAGAAGCCAGACTTTGGAGAACTGAGGATGGAGTGGAAATTTTGAAAGGGGCATGTTTTAGTCACTTCCATATTTCTGAGACCAGAATATCTGATAAAAGCAACTTGTGGGAAAATGATTTATTTTGGTTAACTTTTGCATGGCAGAAAAGGTGTGGTGGTAGGAATGTGTGATAAGGAGGAGTGAACAGAGCAGGAACCAGGAACACATGGACTATTCAAAGATACCCACCGCCTCTTCGGTGAAGTAATCCCACCAGCTTTACCCTCCTCCTATGGGTTCCACAGGAGCCTGTGAGACATTTCATATGCAAACAGGATGTGGTGAGTCGGAGTTCTCCTCAGAGGGTTAGGTTGAGAAGGCTTGAATGGAGTTTGTCTAGAGAGCCATATTGGTGAAAATGTTTTAGGATAGGAGCTGACATCATCATATACTATGGCAAAAAAGGCCATGCAAAAGAGATTTAAAAGAATAAGTAACGCAAGCACTTGGGTGTGGGTGGGGCAGTCAGATAGCTGAGTTCTAGGCCACAGAGCTGGTCTACAGAGCTGGTTCCAGGACAGCCAGGGCTACACAAAGAAACACCATCTCAAAAAAAATCAACAACAACAACAAAAAAACCAAGTAAACGGAAAGGTAAAAGAAAAGATTAATGGAGGGAGCAGGAGGGAGTGAAGACAGAAATAACATAGGAAACTTACCTGGGCTTTTACTGTATTTTAGTAGAGTATATTTTGGCAAGATTTGTAATCAGTTGCTTTGTGTGTTTCCCTTTGTTCTGGGACCAAAGTGGGACTCCAAACACAGACTCAGACATCGAGAGCAGTTCAAAAGCCATGCCTTTCCCACAGCCACTCCCACTGTGTGACCACAGAGTCTTCGGCTCTATCAGCTTTGAACACTTATTTAGCTTATCGCAGGCCATTAAGCCAGAGCTGACCTGACACTACACTCCTGGCCCTGTGTTCCAAGCAGTGATTCATACCCTGAATACCATGATGTCAGTTATGAATTTTATGTCTGCTCAGAAAGCATGACCACTTTTGTAATCATGAGCAAATTCCAAAGAACCAGGGATTCTTTAGGAGACAACTAAAGGGCTAGAGAGATCTTGGTGTGACAAAATCAGAGCAAAGAGGGAAAAAAAGTCTAAGTCAATCTTCAGAAACTTAATAAGTAGCTGTTACCTTATAAAATTATTTCTATCTATAGAACTAAGTTGGAAACCATTAAGCTAAAAATAAGAAAACGTATTCTATGAAATGCATTAGCAGACCCAGTTGTTATTATACTTTGATTTTCCAGATTTTTATTCAAAACTTAACCCCACATGTGTATATCATTAAATTATCACTGCTAAGCATTGCTGTAATTTTCACCTTCTTGATTCAATTTACATTATTTATTTAATGAATGAGGCACCCTGATTTACATATGTAATGAATGGGTATTTTTAATTAAGGAAAGTGCTTTTCTAGACTTGAAGGTCTGATCTTTTGTGCTATATTTACAGTACTAACTCTTCAGATGTCTATAAGCATCAACTTTGACCTCAAGAAGCTTGTAGTAACATACATGTGTGCTCACAAAGACAGAGAAGAGACGGGAAAAAAATATAAATATATATCATAATTCATAGATATCTTAAGAGTTTCGGTATCCATGTCCTCCCTAACAACACTATCACCGATCACTAAGAATGAATGAAATTGCCCAAGATACATTGTAAAAAAAATACAAATGAGTGTGTGCAGTGGGTGCGATGGTGGAAATGAAAAGGAAAATATTAGGACAGTGATCTGTAAGAGGCACTCTTTTGACACTTACATATAAAACACATGCTGAGAAGACAGACAAGGAAGGGAGGGGTGCTGAAAGCCAGAGCATAGTAATGCTTCAATTGAATAAGAATGGAGAGAAGTCCTGAGACATGAGGACTGAAACGTGGCTAGCCCTATCCATGTTCTCAGTTTTATAGTGGTAATGTAGATTTCATGATTAGATTTCAG